TACCTCTCTGTGTATGTATATATTATATGCATATGTAAGTCTATATGTTTATACATTTATGTTTATGTATAAATTTATTCATATATATGTATGTGTGCGTATACGTATATATATGGACATGTATGTATACATGTATATATGTATATGCAATTTGTACATATGAGTGTGTGTATATGTATATGTGAATATATATGTATATATGTAATATATATATACATATAACCATATATATAATGTGAATATGTATATATACGAATATGATTATATTTTGTTATCAGAATAATTATTCCCAGCTTTTAAATCGCGAATATCAACGGAGGCAACTAACATGAAATCTCAACCTCACAGCCTCATGTTATTTTAACATTGTTTAACTTATTCGTTAGCCTTGCGACTTTTTTTTCTCGTTTGGAGTGCCATTGGGTTTAAGGCTCACTTTGACTAATGCTGAGGAATGTGGGATGGCGGTGATGGTGGTGATGGTGGTCGTGGTGGTGATGGTAATGATCTTACTCTCTCCCACCTCTCCCTCTCTCTAAAATCTAACGTTAAAACAGTAAATGAGTGATCAGTTAAAACTCAAAAAATAGTCATGATGTACATCTGTTACTGGTTCATCAAGAGCCTGAAGTTTACGCAACCATCACGCACCGTCCTACAACAATTGGAAGGAGGCTGACCATGTGGTTCCAAAGGCGAACATATACAGAAATGAGCGCAGGCGGAACTCTGTCCTGGCGAAGGGTACACGCACTCGTCCACCACGGGTGTTGTGTCAAAGTCATTCACCATAAAAGCCATTCACCATGTCACCCACAAGAGAAGTGATTGACAAGAAAAAAGTCATATGATCGGCTCAACTTCAATACTGACATCAGCATAGAACATCAGCCACTGTCGTGCATTAGCGGAACATACATTATATGAAGACAAAATATTTCAATAAAGTACAAAGTCACACTATCACTAAGCACTACAGTTTGGTCTATGCAACGTGACCACTGCACCGTTTCGCAACGCTGGATCCGATATCTTGCATCCTTCCTTTTTACGATGTATTGCTTACTGCCTGTTCAGCTGAGCATGGGTTGCAGTACAAGGCAACAGCAAGGGGGTCCTCCACTTCTAGATGATGAGTTTCATGTGGCAGATGCAATTCCTGGGGTGGATAAAAGGGCTTCAAGTAATTAGCATGAACTCTACGCTCACGAGCTTACAGGCCCTACTTTATTGACAACACGAGCTAGGCCTTCCCAACGGGGCGACAACATGTTTGACCTGTATACCTTTGTGAGAACCAATGATCCTTCAAAGACAGATGCTTCCTGATCTTCCGATCGTAATCCCTGGTCCAACCCACGCGAGCTTTCCTGCATGCTTCCTGAGCAGCAGTCCAGGCTAACTGCAGTCTGTGCCGCAAGATATGTGGTGCGGCATCATCGTAGACCGGTTTCATAGTCAGTCCTATGGACATATCAATTGGGTGACCCTGGAAAAATAGAGGTATTTAGAGCAAACCTCACCTGAGGAAGAACATTTCAGTAATATGCAGCCTGGTCACAAAGAGCAGTCAGAGCTTCTTTTCCCACTTACTTGGTTCTCTCTACCATACCGTTTGCTTGAAGATTGTATGGTAGTGTCAGCTTAAATTTTGTCTGGAGTTCACGGCAAACAGAAGCCATGAGGTTGTTATTAAACTCTGCTCCCCCATCTGTCTGCAACTCCAGTGGTGGCCCATACACTGTAACAGAACTGTCAATGAATGAAGTGGCAATAGTTTCAGCTCGCTTATCAGGCAGAGGTACTAACTCCACGTAACAGGATAGGTGGTCAACTATCACTAAGGTATAAATATTTCCTCTTTCTGTTAGTGGTAACTGAATCAAGTCTGCTGAAACCCTCTCAAGAGGACAAGCAACTTCTGGTGCTGAAGCTAGCAGTGCCCTTTCTTAATCTGGCAATCCAGTCATGCCTTAACAAACTATTTAGGAAAAGAGAGCATATTAGGGAAAAGGAACATTGTTTTGGCTTTATTAATGTGCTGAATATACCAGGATATGCTGACAGGGGTGAAGCATGGGACAGACGCAATGCTGATTCTCTCAACAATCCTACAAAGAATCTGGTCACCTGAGTCCTGCAAATGGTACAAGACCCCATTCCCAACTTCAAAGTCAGCCAAGGATGCTGGTAACTTTGCAAAAGGAACTAATCCACCCTCTAGGTACTCGACTATCTATGCCCAGGTAGGGTCCTTTAGCTGTTCTGCACGCAAAACCAGTGGGTCAGCAATATCTCAGTGGCAGCAACCACGGCTGTTTCAGCTCTTGATATCATATCAGGAACATGGTGTATAGGTCCTTATAGATATCAAAGTTATAATGTTTTAGGTCAATACACCATCGAGACATCCTTGGTCCCCCTGGAAAACACATAAACCAGTGGGCGGGATCAGTATACACAGTGAATTTCTGTCCATAAACGTATGGGTCGAAGACCCTTACTGCCTCTACAACAGTGAGTGCCTCACTGTCAGTGGTACTATAGCAAGTCTCTGGTCCACTTTTTTTCTGGAGAAATGTGCCACAGTGTGAGGCATGCCCCTTCTGTGTTACGCTGCATCAAACATGCCCCGATGGCTATCTTTGAGGCGTCACAATGGACCTCAAAGGGTTTATCATAGTTACAGATTTGCAGGGTAGGGGAAACACCAAGGCAAGTTTCAGACTCTCAAAAGACGGTTGGCAGCTCCTTTGACTTTGGCAAGGAAGAACAGCAAGCTTATTTGTACTGAGGAATGCCAACATTGTAAACCAATCTACATAACGGTGGAAGAATTCTGTAGCACTAAGGAATCGGCGCACTCCTCGTACATCTTTCGGGCGGCTCATTTCCACTATAGCAGTTAAGTTTTTGGGATTAAGTACTGATACTTCAAAGCCAAGAAATTCTAATTTCCTTATAGCTATCTCACATTTACCTGGGTTCAAACGCAAACCAGCTCTATGTAACAATTTAAGAGTCTCCTCTATATTTCCGAGGTGCTCCTCTGTACTTCTACTAAAAATAACCACATCATCCAAGTAAGCAGTTGTGTGGTAACCTAAGACAGAGGATAGCATTATATTAATAGTTCTCTGAAAGATCTGTGGGGCTGTCTTCAGACCATATGGCATTCGTCTGAACTGCCACACACGAGCCCTATCACTAAATGCTGTCTTAGGTCGATCTTGAGGTTCCACAGGGCTAGCCCAATAGGCAGAACCAGCATCCAAAGAGGTGAAAATGCAGCTCTGGTGTAAGTCATCAATAACCTGTTGTATCTGTGGTAAGGGATAAGAGTCAGATGTTGTTATTACATTTATAGTACGGAAATCAACACAAAACCTTACCAAACCATCCTTTTTACGAACGAAAACCACTGGTGAAAGCCAAGGACTTGAAGGGTTCAATGACAGCACCCTTGGTCATTGTTCACAAATAGTCAATCGGCCCATTTGTGGTAACCTCCACTGCCTTGTAACAGTGGGTGGGGCATCACCTGTTTGTATTTTGGAAGTTTCCCTATGTCCATAGTTTCAGCACTGAAAAGTCCAAAGTACTCAAGAGGTCTTGAAAAATTGTCCTTTCAGAATCCTCCAAATGATCTAAGCATGGCAATTCATTATGGTTATTTTCAGAAGGGACTAAGAGATTTGCAAGTGTTGGGGCAGTAACACTTACCTGGGGTTCCTCCTTCACAGCATTAAAAACAGTCTTGGCTGCATTGTTGGATGTTGATGAAATCAGAACCTTTTCCTCAAACTCAGGAAGTGCTAGTAAGGTTACATCCACAGGGACAGGGTCAAAATTTAGCCCAGGAAAAGCATGGAACTCATCTTCACTGTACCAAAAATCTATACAGGTACATACAGGATACAGGGAAGGCGGCGACGGCATCATACGGATTGGACACAGGTAAAGCGGCGGCAGCATCCGACGGACTGGACACATGTAAGGCGGCGGCAGCATCCGACGGACTGGACACAGGTAAGGCACCAGAGTTACCTGCAGTATCCTTTGCAGTGGTTTCAGGTGTTATAAGAGGTTCGGTTTGCACGGTGTCAAGTCTGCAAGCAGAGTTCCTCCCTTTAACCTAAGTGGATTATTGCTGTTATTAACTACCCAGATATGAAGCGTCTCACTAGTTGGAGTAACCACACTTTTAGGCATAACTAAAGCATCATTAAGAGGGTTTTTCCAAGTATAGAAGGTACTTTTGCCAAAAGGAAGCAACCAGATTTTAGCTGAAGGGTGACTGATGAGCTTGAGCTTTGGGGTGTACATTTCCTTTAATCACTCTTCCCACTTCAGTCTCTGCCCTAGTCTCAAAGTAATGGTTGTAAATGTGGCAGTCTGTAAAAGTTACTGATACCTTAACTCTATCAAAAAGCAAAAAGTTCTAGGGTGGTTACTGCCTGTGAATTAGCACACAACTACAACATCTCAACACAGTCTATACGTATCAGCAAATCACCTGGGAAACACATACCTAATGAGCGAATGACTTTTCCTCAGATAAGTGGATTCGAACATTACACACCCTGCACATCCAAATTGGTTCCAGACACGCCTAAGTGCTTCCTACTTGGTTTAATGTAAGGTTAAATAGAGATTTTACTGTGTGGATGCTTTCAGAAGTGTCGCTTCACTCCCTGTATATATCAAGCACCTTAACTTGACATCATTCACATGTAGTTGAATCATGGGTCTACCAGCTTGTCTAGATAACGGGAGCGGTTCTTTGGGAACCCGATGAGAAGTTGCAGTCAGGTTCAGTCTGGACTCGCTGTCTGGCCTATCTGGAAAGGGGCAGTTTTTCCGATTATGTGCAGATTGACTACATCCCCAGCATACATACCTTTTTGGTTTCTCTCAGCAATCACGGGTGGAATGTCCTCATTGGCAGTGAAAAGCACAGTATGGTTGTTCACCAACTGCAGCAGTTTCTTGTTCCACTCCTGTATTTTGGAGCCTTGTAATCTAGGTAGGTACCATGTTTACAGCATCCAAGAACTACCTGTTCAGGCTCTCTGGCGGATACCCCATATATGTCTTGCTACAGTCGCCAGATTATAAAGTGTTCTATCCTCTTGCCCTGCAATACTTTTCTGTAACCAGAAGAGTAAGGCTTCATCAAAGGTTCTTTTAATCAGCTCTCGTGGCCTATCTGTTACACCAGGACAATCCCTCCAACCTGAGAGGACGGCACTTTCAATTTCAAGAAATAAATCATGAGGATTTTGGAATTCCCTGAGTCGTTTACTGGAAAGCTGTTGCAAGGATTCTGAGACAGAAGTTGTTCTGCAGAACTTACATGTAAGACGCTGAGCAGTGTCCAGTCTTGGAAATCATCAAACAAGGGGGAGTTGATAACCCTCTCTGCATCTCCTCGGCAGTGTATTCTTACAGCATCACCAGACACCTGCATTTCAATCTGGCGAATCCAGTGATCCATCTCATGGTTCCTTTGTAAAGCTTCTGCTGCTGGAGTTTTTGTTTCAAACAACGGAATGTGGACCCGGGTTTCAGAGACAAACATAGGTGAAGGTTCACAGACTGGTAAACTAGGCATTAGATTGAGCCATCAGCCATGTTCGCCGACCGTGAAGACTGATGGTGCACCAGCATCACAGACATATTCAATACTGCAAGGAATGCTGCAAAAAGTAATTACAGAAACAAAGTACGAGTACGTTAGAAAGAGCAGAATTCTGTTTTATGTAAAGCTTAGATTTGAAATTATATAGTTCATATATCAGAAAACTTTTTATTGTGCTCTATAATAATGTACAAACCATAATACAATACATACCATTCTGAACTAGGAAATGCACTGTTAAAGGCATGCAAGGCGATCTTATAAAAAAGGCATAGAATTATTAAAAAAAAAAAAAAAAAATACTGTACTGTACGTAACAAAATAAAAGAAAATACTATAAAACAAACATTATTTATGAAGTACACTAGAATAGATCAAATGAATTATAAAACATAAAACAAAAGTTGAACGCATAATCGTGACCCAGTAATTCAGTAACTAAAACGGAAAAAAGGTCAATGGACGTAGAAAAAAGACTGCAATCCACGCAGCTGCCACCATTATTTGGGTTGTAGTGATTTTGGAAATTTCATTGTCTGATCCATACTAAAATGAATAATAGTTAAAAACAAAAGTAAATAAATAGCAGGTTTGTGGTAGGACGTAAGGCAAAGGTAAAGTCTACATTTATTTTAAAAAGATGAAAATAAAATTTTTAAAAAAATAAATAAAACCGCTAAGGACGAAAAATATATTTAAAAAAAAACAATGAAAAACTAGGAATTAAAACAAAGAACTAAATAGAAAGTAAGAACCGAAACGTAAAATAAGAATACAATAATAATACAAAAAACTGAGACACAACATAAAATAACATTAAAAGATGATAGGAACGAAACATAAAATAAGACTACAAAATAAAATAAAACTACGACGGTCCAGCAAAATAGATTCAAAGGTTTATATAAACTTTGCATTTTCTTCTTCATATATTATTGTCTATGGTTTCTGTGGCCATAAACATCCACTCTACTTAACTTTTTAGCTCGGTGGGTCTTGCAGCTCGAAAAGAAAAGACGATCCCATTCAAAAGTTATGCTATTCAATATAAATGCTCAGGATCTACTATTCAATATAAATGCTCAGGATCTGGCATTCGCTATAAATGCTCAGGATCTACTATTCAATATAAATGCTCAGGATCTACTATTCAATATAAATGCTCAGGATCTACTATTCAATATAAATGCTCAGGATCTACTATTCAATATAAATGCTCAGGATCTGGCATTCGCTATAAATGCTCAGGATCTACTATTCAATATAAATGCTCAGGATCTACTATTCAATATAAATGCTCAGGATCTACTATTCAATATAAATGCTCAGGATCTACTATTCAATATAAATGCTCAGGATCTACTATTCAATATAAATGCTCAGGATCTACTATTCAATATAAATGCTCAGGATCTACCATTCGCTATAAATGCTCAGGATCTACTATTCAATATAAATGCTCAGGATCTACTATTCAATATAAATGCTCAGGATCTGGCATTCGCTATAAATGCTCAGGATCTACTATTCAATATAAATTCAGGATCTACCATTCAAAAGGAACCCTCGGGATTTAAATACCATTCAAAGGGAATATTTGGGATCTAACTACCATTCATTACCAATGCTATGGAATTAACTGTCATTCACTAGGAATGCTTAGGAAATATTTACAATTCCATAGGAATGCTCAAGATCTCTACCATTTAAGGGGATGTTCAGGGTCTACCATGCAGAAGGAATACTCAGAATCTACCATTTATTAGGAATGCTTAGAATATAATTACAATTCCATGGAAATGCTCAAGATGTAACTACCATTCAATAGGAATGCTTATGACCTCACTACAATTCAGTAGGACTGTTCGGGACCAAACTACATTTCAAAAGGAATGCTCTATTCATTACTAAATGTTCAGTATCTAACTACTGCCATTCTATAGAAGTAATCAGATCTGTAACATTCCTAGTGAATAGTAGTTAAAACATAAGTACCATTCAAAAGGAATACTCTAGATCTCTACCACTTTGAGGAATGTTCAATTGGGATTCAACTAACAATCAAATGCAATGCTCATGATCCCACTACCATTCAGTAGGAATGCTCAGGATTTCTATGATTCAATAGAAAAACTTATGACCTAACATTCACAATGAATGCTCGCACTCTCACTACCACTGAATTGGAATGCTCGAAGTCTCACTACCATTCACTAGGAATGCTCGTCTCACTACCTTTCATTAGCAATTCTTGGGAACTAAGCACCATTCAATAGGAATTCTCGAGATTTAACTACCATTCAAAGAAAATGCTTAGAATCTACCTATACCATTCACTAGTAATGCTCTGGATTGTACTATTCCCTAGAAATGTTATGATCTGCCATTCAAAACATACTCGGGATCTATCATTCACTGGGAATGATCATAAAAAGTCATTTCACTAGGAAAGATCAGGATCTTACTAACATTCAGTTGGAATGCTTGGGATCTACTATTCATTAGGAATGCTTGTGACCTCAGCCTATGAATGCTCAGGATCTACTATTCAATATAAATGCTCAGGATCTGGCATTCGCTATAAATGCTCAGGATCTACCATTCGCTATAAATGCTCAGGAAATAACTACCATTCACCAAGAATGCTCAAGATCTAAAGACCATTCACTAGCAATGCACAGGTTTTAACTACTACTGACTAGGAGTACTAATGATCTAACTACCATTCCAAAGAAATGCTTGGGATGTAACTATAATTCCTAAGCAATGCTCGGGATCTCACTACCATGCACTAGGAATGCTCGGGATGTAACTACAATTCTAAAAGAATGCTTGTGATCTCACCACCATTCACTAGGAATGCTCTGGATCTAACTACCACTTACTAGGAATGCTTAGGATCTAACTACCATTCACTAGGAATGCTTGGGATCTACCTACCTTTTACTAGAAATGTTTTGAATTGTAGTTTGAACCCAAAGGAATGCTTGGGATCTAACTACTATTCACTACAAATGCCCAGGATTTAACTACTATTCCCAAACAACACTCGGGATCTATCATTCCCTAGCAATGCTTCGGATCTATCTACTATTCATTAGGAATGCTCAGGATCTAACTACTATGCACTATTAATGGTAGGGATCTAAATACCATTCAAAAGAAATGCTCGGGATGTCACTAGAATGCTTTGATTCTTATTACCATTCAAAAGGAATACTCAGGATGAAACTACCAATTACTACGAATGCTTGGGATCTATCTTTCAATTGCAATGCTTGGGATGTTACCATTCTCCAAGAATGTTTGGGATAGAAATACCAATCACTAGGAATGTTTGGGTAATTATTACCATTCAAAAGGAATGTTCACAATCTAAATACCAATCAAAAGAAATGCTCTGGATATGACTACCATTCACCACAAATATTTGGGATGGAAAAAACATTCAATAGGACTGCTTGTGACCTTAATAAAGTTCACTTGTAATGCTCAGAATCTAATGTTTATTAGGAATGCTTGGCATCTTAATATCATTCAATAGAAAGGTTTGGGATCTCTCTACCATCCAAAAGGAATCAGGATCTCACTACTGAAAATTATTACTTGGGATCTAACTGCCTTTCAATAAAAATTGTCAGGATTGCTGTATCCTCACTAAATTCACTATTGCATATCTATCATTCATAATGAATGGTCGGGATCTAACAACTATTCAAACGGAATGTATGTAATATCTATTATTCACTGGAAAGATCAGGATCTAACAAATATTCACTAGGAGCTAAATACCATCCATTAGAAACAATCGAGACCTCACAACCAATCTCTACCAAAGAAAAGAAATGATAGTGATCTCACTACCACTAAAAGAGAATGCTACCCATCAGTAAGAAACTTGTGTCCTCACAACCATTCAACTAGGAATGCTCAGGATCTACCACTCAAAAGAAATGCTAAGCATCTAACTACCATTAAAAAGGAATACTCAGATCCATACTATTCCTTTTGAGCAGTAGTTAGATCGTAACTACCATTCATTAATAATGCTTGGGATCTTTCTACCATTCATTAGGAATGCTAGGGATATCACTACCATTCAAAAAGCAATGCTCGCAATCTAACATTCAAGAGGAATGCTTGGGATCTCACTGCCCTTAAAAAAAGTTTGGGATCTCTCTACCATTCAAAAAGAATGGATCTCACTACCATTCACACAAGGAATGCTAAGGATCTCACTACCATTCAAAAGGGATGCTTGGGATCTCGCTACCATTCAAGAGGAATGTTTTGATCTTACAACCAATCAAAATGAACACTAGGGATATCACTACCATTTAAAGGGAATGCTTGGATCTCACTACCATTCAAAAGAAATGCTTGGCTCTCATTACCATTCAAAAGGAATGCTAGGGATATAACTACCAATCAAAAGCAATGCTTGATCTCACTACCATTCAATATGGTTAATGGTTTAATGTACTAGATATCTAAGGTCATGTAGCACTTTAGTAAATGGTAGTGAAGTGTGGTTGAGTTAGTGATTAGTTGCTAAAACTGGGCAAAAGAATTGACGAGTGAATGATCTGTGAGATTCTGTAAGGATGTCTGATAGGTTGGAAGGTCGGTGAAGGGAGGATAGGTGGGGGAAAGCAGGCTGCATCAAATCCTGGATCTGATAATAGAATGTGTGGAATTGAAGGTGGGACATTACATAAGGAACATAGGGGTGGATCAGTGCGACATCAGATAGAAGTGTGTTAGAAGGGTGTGGCCAATGCATAACCGGGCGAGAGCCGTCTCCCAACGTCAGTTCAGATGAAATGGAGCTGACCAGGAGATTGATAATCTAAGGTCTTAGAGTAGGGGTAATAATCTGTGGCTGGGATACTTGAGAAATGTGTTTGGTGTGATATGGACATTTTATGTCGTGTGGATAGATAGAACAACCAGTTCTGGAGGGTTAGTCAAGTGTATTAACTCTGAGTTATAGTTATGGGAGTGAGTAAAATTTGTGAATGATGTGTTTTAAGGCAAAAATGAGTGTACAGTTCTGCAGTGACACTAGATTCAGGAGGGAAGGGGTATTTAAAAGTGAGAGTTGGGAAGGTTACAGCGAAACATGCACTGGAATTAGGTGGAATGAGAGCCATCAGTTTAAGCATGAATACTGGAGGAATGAATGGAGATATGGTCAAGGAAGTGGGTGAGGACAGTAGGTGGGGGGGGGGGGATATTTGATATTGGTGGGTCAGGGAAAACAAAGGAGCAAGTACAGGGTTAGGGTATAAGCCATGGGAGGATAGAATGGACAGAAAACGGGAGAGGTTGGAGGCGGGGAAAAGGGGAATGTGAGAGGAGAAATACAAATGGAGAAAGAGTAGGTAAACGTGAAGAAGAAATAAAGGTAGGAAGTTTAATGAGGGGAAGCTGGTGGAATCATGTATAGCATCGGAGAGAAGGCCATGGCGTTGAAAAAGAGATGATATGCCTGATTCAGTGTACAGGCTCTCAATTGGAGAGTGGCAAAAGGTTCCTAGGGTTAAGCAAGAAGACAGTGGTGGATTGTATCAAGATGGGCAAGGAGAGAGGTTGAGGCAGAGGAGTAGATATGGCAACCATAATCAAGAGTGGAGAGGATCAAGGTAACATGAAGATGAAAGAGAGTTTTGCGATCGGAGTCCCAGGATATATGGGATATATGTAAAGGATGTAAAAATTTGGAGGTTTAGTGACCTAGGAAGATACTGATATTGCAGACTGAAGGTATTGACGGAGATTTGGTATGGATGTGCCAGAGGTGTAGATGGTTAAATCATCAACATAGAATGATGGCCTGGCTCCTGGTGGTAGAACTGAGACAATGTCAATAACAGCAAGAAGGAATAAAGTGGTAATGAGCACACTGCCTAGTGGGACGCCTTCAAATTAAGAGAAAGATGTGAGAGGCAATTTTGACCTGGAAAGTACGTTTGGAGAGGAAAGACCCATGTTTCCACGTATGTCCAAAGAGGACAATTGATGAAGAATATGGTACCGCCATGTAGTATCATATGTTTTTTCTAGGTCAAGGAATATGGTTAATATGGATTCATGGCATTGAAATGCAGATGTAATATGTCTCAAAATCAGCAAGCAGGTCAGCTATACTTAGGGCACGGCAGAAACCAAGCTGGAAAGGAGAGATAAGATTATGAGATTCAAGATACCACATTAAACGGGAGTTAACCATTTGCTCTAGTTTGCACAAGCAGTTAGAACAATGGGGTGATAATCTTGAGGGAGGGTACCTGATTTATTGGGTTTCAGGAAGGGGAAAATAAAAGCTTACCAAAGAGAAGTAAAATTTCCTGACGTCCATATGTGGTTGAAATTTGTTAATATGAAGGCCCTCCCATCTTCCTGAGTGAATTCAATGCAGCTTTACAGTCGTGCACAACAGAGGAAGAAAAAGGAGCATTATAGGACTCAGCGGAGAATAGGGTGAAGGTAATGGGGGGTGTGTTCCCTGATGGTCTTAATAGAAGAGAAGTGTGGAGAAATGCGAGAACCACTAATGACCTGGCTGAAATAGTCA